TTGGGAACCGCAGACGCACCAACTTACTGAGTTCCACTGTGTAGTCGGATGGTGCCTTGTACAAGGCTGAAGAAGCGCACAAGAAACCAGTGAACAACCAATGGCGCTCTAGCAACCATGAGGCGAAATCGAAAGCCACGGTGTGCTGAAAGGATGTGTTGCGAACTGCTAAGAAGTCCTGTATGGTTGGATCCTGACGTCGCGATCTGCGTGAGCGATGTGTTCAAATTGAACGCGGCGGCGGTTCATCGCTCCTGGGCCCTACTCCTTCGGAGACATGCTTATTATACAGTTATAGGTATTAGCGGCAGTTGGAGAATCATAGCGGCCCAGGCGGTCCATACCATGGTGGTCGAACCACCTCGGGGGGCGAGGGCTGTTCATCGGATCTTTCTGGCCCCAAGCAGCTAACGCCACAGCGCTCCGCTGGCGGGACAGGTGCACGTGGGGGCGAGGGCGCCACACAGGGATCATCCGTCTCATGCCAAAGGTCGGGAGCTCTGTGCGGCGTCAGCTCCGCGCCCTCCAGCACCGCGGAGGACTTCAGCCACGGCGGCGGCATTCATTAGCGACGGTTGCCCACTCCTCGGCCCTCTGCGGGGCCGTCCTCTTCTCACCCGGTAGCTGAGGACGAGGCTGGCGAGGAGGCTTATGACAGCCTCGGGCCCCTTGCGAGGGCGCCACGTGACCTGCTCGAGCTGGCGCAGGAGGGGTCACATCCCAGTGCTGCCTTTGTTTGGATGAGATCTCGCAGGCCCACTGGTTCACAGGCGACCTCTGTCTCAGGTCTATCTGTTGGGTGGTGTCGCCATGGCAGGTCGACGACATGGCTGTTGTTGAGGTCGCGCGTGATGCTTGTGTCCAAATCAGAATGCCGTTGGCGGCCAAGGGTGGTGACTTCGTGGAGGGAAGCGTGGGGGTCACAAAGGAAGGCACGACAAGAAAGTTTAACAAATGTTGCGATACGATCGGGACCCGTGAGGCCACCAGCAAGGCCATCGCAGTCGCCATGAACACACACCATCCCTCCATGCGCACCCGCGAGGTCACACCGCGCAACGTTGAGGCAGAGCTGATGCGCAGGTGCATGCGGCGGCCGCTGTGTAGCTCCCATCCGTATTCCTGGGCCTGTATCGGGTGACGGCGATCGACCGCAGATGGGGGGGGCACATGGCGACGGACATGGGCTGTAATAGAGGGCGGTTCACGGTCGCGATTACGGTGGCAGTGCAGCCCAGACAGGTCCGACCAAATTTGGATTCACGCATCGCCTCGAGGGTTTCGACGAAAGTAGGCTTCGCAGCACAGGTGATCCGCTGCAGGCTCACAGCGCGCGCGCGCGGTGTCCGCGGCGAGCAGCCCAGCAATTGTGTGACGATTCGTTGCGCTGGCGGGATCAGCCGAGGTTGACCAGACAGGTCCCCCTCCATGATCATGTCCCGAGACAAGACGGCAACGGTGGTTCGTACGCGGGAGACAGCCATGGTGCTTCTATGCGAGAGTGTAGTCTGCCGCCCGTTCAGTCCACGACGCCGCTGGCGGCAGTTTGCAGTGTCCCCGTGGAGGACTGCCAGGAGGTCACCGACGAGTTCCCCCACCCCCACGCGACGAGGTCGCGTGGCAGAGGAGATTTGAGACCCTTGCAGACGAGGCGGCGTGCTTGGCGACCACAGGTGCTCGTATCTGCCTCATCTACAACGCGGCAGTCGATAGCAATAAGGGGGCACCGCTGCATGGTGTAAGACGCAGGCTCGGAAGAGAATCCAACGTTGCGGTCCCGTCAAACAAGCAGACTGTGTCGGTCAAGCTGGTCGCGCCGGCGGTGGCGGCCGTTTTGACCTGCGATGTTGGGTCGACGCAGCAGGCCATGGAAAAACGTACTTGGAAGTTGGTTTTCGCCAGGTGGTTACACAGAAGTCCTCCTGCAGGTCAGCGCGGCTACCATCACAAGGCGGGCACGCTAAGCTGCACGGGTGGACGGCCTACGGCAGCAGGCAGCAGCGGCGTTTGTCAAGGCAACATCTGTCTTCCCCGTCCGCGCTTCCCTTTCCTCGGCAGCTGTGCTCCTCTCCCTCTCTCTCTTCTCTCTCTCTCTGTCCCTCTGTCTGCATCTATGTGTCCCGCCTGGTTGCGCGGGCGCGGGACGGCGCCCGCTGTGCTCCCCTTGCTCCCATCCTTCCCCTCCCTCCGTTTCTCGCCGTTCGCCTCGCCTCGCCGAAAGGCAAGATTCGCGGTTGTGATGAACAGGTCTCTCGCCCGGTGGCGGTAGCAGCAGACGGCGTAGCTTGAGGGCAAAGGGCAAAACAGGAGAAGGAGGGGGAGTGGGAACTGGAGTGGGATCAGGCGGACCAGCAATCACAGCAGAAGGAAGAGGACGATTGTGAGCAGCCCGAGGAGAAGAACCGGTAGAGAGAGGTTCAGAGACGGGAAGAGCGCAGCCGCAATGCCACAGCTCCCGCAGGAAAGAGAAGGTTCCAGCCTCGGCGCGCCAGTTCAAGAGGCGCGCCATTGTACCACTTTGTTTGCTTGCTCTCTTTGCAGATATACTCTCTGGTGGGTTTCGGTGTCACCTCCGGGTTCCTGACCCCCAGACATCCCCAGTCGGCCCTGCAGGTCCTAAGGGGTCCCCAGATGCTTTCAGATGGCTCCAGAGGCCTCTGGGGGTAAGGCAAACCACATCCAAATTCATAGTTCAATGTCGTGAGCAAGATTTGGGAGGTCCACTCCCCCAACCCTCCTCTTATGCAGGCCTCCGCCAAGAGGGGCATGCAGACATTAGGTTCAGTTGGCGCATAATTGTCACAAGGGAGTCGCTCCTTATTTTGCATATGTTGTAGCAAGATGTTTGACAGCGTGGATCAAATAGTGAGTTATTGTTATGCGGTGCAGCAGTTGTGGTGGTTTACAGGAGGTGCAAGTTAGACGGTATGCTATGTGGTGGAAGCTATGTGGTACGTGTGGTGTCAGCCAGGTGTTGCAAGCTATGCAGTGTACGCTATGCGGTGCAAGTTCTGTGGTGCAAGTTGTTTGGTTCAACCTATGTGGTGGAAGCTAGGTGGAGCAGGCTTCCGTGTGATGCAAGCTGTTGGGTGGAAGCTTTGTGGTGCAAGCTCTGAGGTGAAAGCTGCTGTGAAGGCGATTTGATGCAGTCTGTGTGGTGCAAGCTATGGGGTGTAAGTCACCGTCCTCTCCACTGCTCGTGCAAACATCCTAACCTCCCACCCGCAACTTGGTCGCAAGATCTCTGAAGACCGTAACGGTAGGTACCGAATGTCACTTGGCAACGACACCGACGACGACAGCAATAACGACGACGACGCCGCCGTCGACGACAACGACTACGACAACACCGACGTCTCCAACGACTTCGGCGACGACAACGACGACGACGACAACGACGACGACGACACCGACGACGACGACGCCGACGCCGACGACGACGACGACGACGATGACCACGACGACGACGACGCCGACGACGACGACGATGAGGCCGACGACGACGATGACGACGACGACGAAGACGACGACGACGACGCCAACGAAGACGACGACGACGAGGGAGGAGGGAGGACGACGACGGCGACAACGACAACGACGAGGGAGGAGGGAGGACGGCGACGAATCGAACGACGAGGAAAGACAGAGCACGACGACGCCGACGACGACAACGATGAGGGAGCAGGGAAGGCGACGACGACGACGACGACGACGACGACGACGGCGACGAAATAGGAGGGACGACGACGAGACGCCGACGCCGACGACGACGACGACGAGGGAGGAGGAAGGACGACCACGGCGACAACGACGACGGAAACGACGACGACGCCAAAGAGGACGACGACGACGTGGAAAGACAGAGGACGACGACGGCGACGACGACGACGACGAGGGAGGAGGGAGGACCGCGACGACGACGACGACGCAAGAGCGCGCGCGCACGCTTTTGTTGAACACCCGCGTTGCGAAACCATGCGTTTTGTTGTTTTTTGTTTGGGCACACGATTTTGAAATTCTTCCGAAAACGAGTGTTTTTGAATGATTTCGGTATGCGCGCGCGACGACGCGCGCGCGTTCACTTCGTCCCGTTTTTTGCTGTGGATTCTCGCGACGGCACGCGCGCAAGGGCGTTCGAAAGATTTCGACATGCGCGCGCGCGAACCCCGTTTGGTAGTATTCTCTGTTTTGGAAATCTTGGAAAACCTATGGTGGCCTCAAGATTTCGCAAGAGCGCGCGCGTACATTTGCTTAGACATTTAGTGTTGCGAAGCCCTGTGTCGTAGGTTTTCTGTTGAAGCTCGATTTCCAATTCCTTCTGAAACCGAAGGTTTTTGAAGGATTTCGGCATGCGTGCGCGACGACGCGCGCGTGCGCACTTTGTCTTTTTTTTTTTTTTGTTCAATGGATGTTTGAAAACTTAGGAAGTCTGTTAAACGAGTGTGCGCGCATATTTTTTCGCATCGGATGACGGAGGGGGGCCGATACCGTTTGGGGGGGGAAAGTATGAATTCACAGGTCGGATGGACATTGGGTCGAAATCCGATGTGCTTTGCATCGGTTCCCGGGGGGTCTTTAAACCCGGGGGGGAGGGTGGTATAACCAATTTTCAATATAAGAACAAATAAATCACACAGGATAAATTCTAGGCGTTGTCAATGCCACTTCTCTCGCGATCACCCCACCCACCTGCACCACCCCACAACCTTGTTTGCAGAACCCATGCGGCGGCGATCGCGATGAGAGCTCGGTGTTGGCTGGTGCATCTCTGCGGCTGCGCTCGCCCGCGCACGCTCGCGCGCACAGCGGCCAGGTAGTTTGGCGTGACCCACGCGGCCGCGGTGGTGCTGACCGCTGCTTACTTCCCCGCGAGCATCGCAATGTGAGTCGGTGACCTTGGGCGGGCGTGGCATCATGGCGGCATCGGAAGCGGCAAGTAGACCCGATGGTGACAGTTGCGAAGACGGTGGCGATGGTTGCGGTGACGGCGGCATAGCAATGATGGCGCCGATGTTGGTCACGCCGATGACGATGATGCTGTCTTTGCGTCGGTGGTAAAGGTTTTGGCAAAAGTTCGAGCGCCTGCGGCCGACGCGCGCGAGTGGCCCGCATGGTATCATTCGACAGGGGTTGCACCCCCCTCCAGCACGCGCGCAAAGGCGTTCGAATGATTTCGTCCGATGTTCTTGCTTCTGGGAACCAGCGCTGCAACACCATGTGTCGTGACGCATGTTCGGGGCACTCGATGTGAAACCTTTTATGGGAACGAAGGTTGCTGACGGATGTAGACATGCGCTCGCGACCACGCGCGCGTGTGCATTCCGTCACATGTCTTCGTTTGGGGTTCTTGTGGCAACACGCGCACAAAGTGGGTTCGAACGATATCGATACGCGCGAGCGGAAGGCACGTCTGGTAGCGTATGCTGGCAATGTTGGGAACAGTAGGTTTTTGTCTCAAAACTCGTATCCGTGAGAACGCATGTTTGTTTGAATTTCTTGTTTGCAAAACCAGTGGCGTGTTTGTTGCTTTAAATTCTTTCGGGGGAGGGGGGGGGGGGTAGGTGTTGAAATCTTTGCGGGACATGGTGTTCCCGAATTACTTGGTCATGCGTTCGCGACGGCGCGCGCTTGTGCACTTCGCCTGAAGATAGAGGATTCTTATGAACGGGTGCGCGCAAAAGGGGGGCTATACAAAGATTGCCTGGGGTGGACTGAATTCATACCTTTACGACCACCCATCGGGTGATGAGGAGATTGATGGATGGGGGAAATCACCAACTGCTGGCAATTTTGATGGGCGTGATGATGACGATGTTGGTGACGCGCTTTCGAGCTAGCATCGTCGCGCGATTATGGTGTTGTGCGGCAGTGGAATATCGCTATCGCCCCCGCTTTCGATCTCACACGATCGATTCCACGATCGACCCGACAGGATTGATCATACTCGACCGGTGCCACTATATACCCCACGACCAGTCCCATTATACATATGATTGTAGATCTCTGTTTCGAATACACTATCAGCTGCATTATCGATACCACGATCATCGATTCTTCTATCGATATCATTATCGATCTCACGATCGACCTCACAACCAATGTCACAATCAACCTCAGTGCCAATCTCATTTTCGACCTCACTATCCGTCCTGTTCTAGCGATATCATGATCGATCTCGCGATCGATTTCACTATCGATACCATGGCGGGACACCCCTGCCCACTGCCCGCCCACCGCCGACGGAACATCGACGGGACACCAACGGGACACTAACGGGACACCAACGGGACACCACAGGACACCACGGCGGGACACCCCGGGCCACCGCGCGCCCACCGTGGGCGGAGGGGCGGTCCACTGCATCCGAATCGACCAGGCGACGGTGGGGTCATTCCTTGCGCGCGCCCACGCAGCTTCGCCTTGCCCGCACGCACGACACGAAACCGAAACCGAAACTGATTTCCCAGTGGGGGGACTCTTCGTTTCACAGCGATCTCACCCCTCAACCTTCGATTTAGGGTGGACGATGGGGAAGAATCACGTATACATTGCAATACAAGAGGGCGGGCCATATTCAGCGCAAGCCATGTGATGCCAGCTACGCAGTGCATGCTAGCGCATGGGGCGTCCACGAGGCGCATACGGGCGGCCACCAACCAAGAAACAGGCGAAACCCTCCAGACCCAACCAGCGCGCGGGGCGCTTACGAGGCGCCCACTGGCGGCCACCAATCGGGCACCAGGCGAAACCGCGTCCGACGGACGTATCCAATTATAGACGCGTCGCGTAACCCCCCCCCCACCCCCCCAGAGTTTGCGTTGCCTGTTGTAGCTAATTAGCCTCGCCTGCTGGCCCAGACGACGCCTTCCGCTCCCTGACCGCTGCCTCGAAGCCGCCGACCAAAAAGTACCCCCCCCCAGTCCATCCAGAAACGATGTTCAGGCGAGTTGCCCTGCTCAGGCATGTGGGGGAGCATGCAGCGGAATAACGGCTGGGAAACCGTCGTACCCCAAGAGGGGGAGGATGGAGGAGGAACCAGAGGAGGAGGAGGCGGAGGAGGAGGAGGAGAAGGAGGAGGAGGATATGGAGGAGGAGGAGGAGGAGGAGAATTGGGAGGTGGAGGAGGGATGAGGGAGAAGGGGGAAGGGAGGAGGGAGGAGAAGGATCAGGCGGATGAGGAAGAGGAAGAGAGGATGGCGAAAGGAAAGGCCAGAGGCCGCTTGTATGCTTCTCGGGATATCTTGCGATGTCTCTTGAAAGCTTATTGTAGGCCTGCTGGGGCGTCTTGAGGCTTGGGGTCCTCTTGGCGGTCCCACGGGCCTCGTGAAGCTTGTTGGGTGTCTCGGGAGAGCTTTTCCGGGCTTGTTGGGGGTCTCTTGGGAGCCTTTGGGTGCATCGTTGGGGCATCTTGGGGGCCTCTTGGGGCGTCCTGGGCGCCTCTTGGGCACTCTTGGGAGCCTCGTGGGCCATCTTGGGGCCATCTTGGAGGTGAGCGGTCAA